AAGAAAGGTGGTGTGTTTGGATGCTTCCCTAGATTTGGGGGGGGGGGGGAGAATCCTACAGAAAAAAATTAGCATGGCTCCACTTAGCATGATAGCTTTATATGTGCAGGGAAGGGTTTTTTTTTTTAAAAAATGTTGGGAACATTTAATTATGGAATCGCCCACAGGATGAAAAAGAACAGTCTAAGAATAGTTTCATATCAGCGATCTGGGTTTCTTTCCCCCATAGACTGTCAGTCTTTTTGACTCATTTAAAAAGGTAAAGGTAAAGGTTCCCTTGCTCGAAAGCCAGTCGAGTCCGACTCTAGGGGTGCGGTGCTCATCTCCGTTTCAAAGCCGAAGAGCCAGCGCGGTCCAAAGACGTTTCCGTGGTCATGTGGCTGGCATGACTAAACACCGAGGCGCACGGAATGCTGTTACCTTCCCACCGAAGTGGTACCTGTTTATCTACTTGCAATTTCTTGCTTTCGAACTGCTAGGTTGGCAGGAGCTGGAACTAGAGACGGGAGCTCACTCCGTCATGCGGCACACTCGGGTCTCGAACTCCTGAACTACCGACCTTCCACAGCCTGCAGTTCAGCGTCTTAACCACTTGAGCCACCGCAGCTCCTTGACTCATTTACATCTCCTTTAAGCCGATTAATGACTCACTGAACGTGGCCACCTTCCTTCAAGGTAGAGTTGACTGAACAGCACCGAAGTGCGTTGAAGTGCATTGCGGGATTGCTTTGGCAGCAGGCCGGGGAAATTGCGTTAGGAAGCTCTGCTCTCCTATTAAAGGGACAACAGCCTCAAGGACTCCCTGCCCCACACCGCCTCCCCAAACAGTGCAAGGCATAATCAGGGATGGGACAGTGCCCAAGAACCGGTTCATAATTCACCCGATGGTTTCGGATTTGGGGATCTGCCAAATGGCCACTCAAAAACGGAGAGAAAGGGATGAGAAGGAAAACAGAACGGAAGAGCTTGAATGCATAAGAACACAAGTCCTGCTGGCACAGTGCTTGAACTGTAGGGACTCGGGCGGGGAGGCTGCCACCTACCACTTTTGATACCCTCCCTTTGGCTTGATTTGGCCTCCTCCCTCTATTCAAAGCCACCCTTCCTGAGTGTCCCTCCGAATATTCAGACCTCTCCACCATGTAGGTGTGCCTGGCTGGCTGGGGTCAGTCTGTCGTCCGAGGTCCAGCTGGATTTTGCCCCCCCCCCAAAAAAAAACACCTGCCCCCTTTGCTTTGTAAAGGTCCAGGATGGGGAATGCAAGGGAATAAATCCCTGAAAAGGGGAATGGCACAAGGATAGAGCCAAGCCCAGAACAAGGTTAGCTCCCCTTGCAGTGAATGTAATTTTATCAATGCGTGTAGAAAGAAGGAGGAGATTGGATCTATGCCCCACCCTTCTGCGTGTAGAAAGACGGAGGAGGAGGAGATTGGATTATATACCCCACCCTTCACTACCCAAAGGAGTCTCCTTTCCCTTCCCCTCCCCACAACAGACACCCTGTGAGGTAGGTGCGGCTGAGAGAGCTCTTTCGAGGACTGCTCTTGAGAGAACAGCTCCGAAAGAACTTGTAACTGGCCCAAGGTCACACCAGCAGCTGCATGTGGAGGAGTGGGGGGGAATCAAGCCCGGTTCTCCCAGATTAGAGTCCATACTCTTAACCACTGCACCAAACTGGCACAAAGGGCACTGCCTTTCTGCTGCTCTATGCCGCCAATGACTGATATTCCAAGGTATACTGCCTCCAAACATGGAGGCTCCATTTGGCTGTCTTGGCGAATCGGCACCCCTCCACCTTACAGCCACCTTCATTTTGCTCCGACCCACTAGATTTCACATGGAAACACAGCCCAGGAGCCTAGCTCACAAATCTGTGGCATAAATCATCCAGCCCACCAAGAGGGGTGTTTTACTCCCAGCTCTTATCTGGGACCGATAGAGAAAACGCATGCGAGAAAACGACTCAAGGCAGAAGCCGCTGCTCCTTTGGATACGAGCATGGGTGCGCACGCGCACAGAATCCACAGTCCCTTGAGGGCTTATCCAGGGAGGGCGCCTGATCTGATCTTCCTCAGCGAAGCTTCCCTGTCAAAAAACCCAACAGCCGCCCCCCTGTAGTGAGCCAATGTCATTATCGTGCCAGAGATTGGAGAAGAGTTGAGAGGTTTGTGCGGAATCGAACAGAGGACACAGGGAGGGAGAGGACCGGCCGCTAACTGGATTGGGTCGGATGTTACCTGGTTAACACTGCCTTGCGGGGATCCCATCCCTTAGCTGCCTGGCTAGATTTGTCTGAGGGGATAAAAGTCACACTGGGTCCGTGTGCCTTTTCCTGATCATAAACTCAGGGTTTGAAGCTGATCTCGAGATTTTAAACACTCTGGGCTGCTGGGCGTCCGTTCGCCGCCGTCACAGAGTCACGAGATTTGCCAGTCTGCACTGGCCGCTTGGCACATGCACGCTCAACTCAGGGTTGCCAGCTCCAGGCTGGGGGATACCTGGAGATTTTGGGGGTGGAGCTCAGGCCCGTTGCTACAGTGGGGCATTTGGGGGGCCTGCCCCCTTAATTAAAAGCCCTGCCCCACGAAAAGACATGCCAGGAAGGGCTCTTTTTGTAGCAGGAACTCCTTTGCATAGTAGGCCACACCCCCTAATGTAGCCAATCCTCCAAGAGCTTACAGAGCTCCTTTTACAGGAGCTACTGTAAGCTCTTGGAGGATTGGCTACATTAGGGGTGTGTCACTTAATATGCAAATGAGTACCTGCTACAAAAAGAGCC